CAGAACAGAAGACTCCTTGATCTACTGGATAAAGAAAACTTTCCCACCTCCAGGGTCCTGTAACTCTACACCTACCACCTTCTATCATGAAATACCACTTGTCTCCAATCTTTGCAACATTTTTTGGATTAGGGTCTGTGGCCAGAGGATGTGACAGAGATAGGAAATGGTGAGTCAGAATTGGAATTGGGACTGTCTGACTGCAAGTTTAAGTACTCACTTCTGGCATGCATCTCAATAAAAGAACCCAAAGAGTGATAACTGGAAAGCAGAATAAAAAACATCAGGGCACTCTACAGATCAGAATTGTGCCCTGCATGAGAGGGGTAAGTACTGGCACTAAGTTTAACTTTGGGGTAGTGCCCTCCAGTGAACCCCTGAGGACTAATGACCTGCTATGCAAGGCCTCCATCACAACTGTCACACTGCCTTGTCCCTCTGAGAGCTGCACAACCCTTTAGTTGTTGCTACTGCTGGTTTGCCCGAAGAGTCCCTGTTGAAAGGTCACCTGAGTATTCCTTAAGGCAGGTAGATACATCTACAAGGAGAGGTTGCAAACTTCTAATGTCAAAAAAAAAAAAGAAAAAAGATTTCAGCTTCCACTGCCAGAAGCTTACGTATCTAACTAAAAACCTAAATCACAACTTAAACTTGCTTCTGCTCCTTTTTCTATCTTTTAGTGCAAAGGCATATCTATATGAAACTTCATTTTTAATTACTCCTAGTTTTTCTGCATCCAACAAAATAGATCCTTTTTAAAATTTTATCAGTAGTTTCATTTCCAGAGTTCTGATTTATTACATAGCATGATTTTTTAGTATATGACAGGCACTGAGTACTTACTAAAAGTGAAGCATTGTTCTAAATACATGTATTAATTCGTTTTCCACAAAGCAGCTCTAGCAAGTTGGTGCTTTTGCTATCTACATTTTGCAGATGGAGAAACTGAGTCCCAGTGTCCAAGATCATGTAGTTTATAAGTGGTGAAGCTGAGATTCAAACCCTGGCACCCAGACCCCATAATCTGTATTTTTTCATCAAACTGTGGAGCCTAACTATAATCTTTAAAGCTCTATCATAGAATGTCATCCATCTTTAATTCCAGAACCAAGAACTAGATGAAGCCATATGTTGACAGTGGCCAAAAATCCATCCCACAGAGTCTCAGTTATAATCCTCCTATTATTACATACTCAGAAACTATCTAACTGCACTCCTCAAGGAGGAAAAGTGAAGTTAGCTGATTGGTCTTGGGCAGAAGTGGGTGGGGTAGGGAAAGGAAAGTTATCAAAGTGAGGAATATGCCCATCCAGGGAACTAAAGCAAATCCTCAAAGAAAGTCAGGGGCATCCACAACATATCCTGGCCTCCAGACCAGACATCCAGGGAAGATGGCAGTTGGTAGGTGACCTAAGCATACCTTGGAGACAGACACAAATGACTGCTGTGAAAATGTTACTTGCTTCCTGGGCATCTGCTCAGATAGCCTGGATCCCACTTAGAGGAGCCAGAACAAGGCAGACATGCACAGTGATAGAATTACTTAAATGTCAAAATTAGTGCCTATCATGTAAATATGGATGCAGAAACACTATGAGTATGTGAGCAGGTGAGGGAGACAAAGAATGCAAGACAAGCAATGTAATTCACTATAAAATTCCAAAGAATCAATGACAAAATACCTTAAGCAAATAAACTTTACAATAAATCTGATGCACATGCAAATAAAATGCAAAAAGGTAAAAAATAAAAACTTCGACTAGTTGTAACTCTTACTACAAGTTGTTTTGGGAGAGTTGCTACATAGCTCTTCAGTAAAGTTCAACAGTTATGGATCTTCTGGTTTCTCAAATTAAGGACACTAAAATTATGGAGGACTTTCCCCTCACCCTACTCATAGTTCATTGTTTGTCCTAATAGAAGAGAACTGGAGCATCCACAAAGAACATTAAGAACAGAACTGAAGAAGTCGCTAAGTGAGAGAAGGTAGCTTTTGAGCTATGCCTACAAGCTCCCCAGTTTGAGGGGATGGTAGGCAAGAAGTGACAGTGGACAGAGCCAGGTTGATGACAATGGCATCAAAGACAGATGTAAGAAATCCTCAAGGCCCTGCCAACTACCATGGTCAATTTTGAAGGAAAATCAGAGTGGCATCAAGAGTGCCCAAAAATCCTTCTCCCTTAATCAAGTCTCTCACCTCCAGGGCTGGCACTAGGAGAGCCTCTTGGGAGAAGGCGCCCCATGCTGCTCCTCAGAGCCACCTTGTCTCAGTCCCTTGCTCATTCCTGCCACCATAGCCACCAGGCCCTGGACACTTGTACTAAGCAGATTAATAAAAGTTTACCTCTAGGGGGCGTTTGGGGTTCTCCATTTTTATTTCCATAGTACAGCTGAGGCAAAGCTAACACATTTAGAAAGACTTTACTTAAGGTTGGATTATTAAAAAAAAAAAAAAAAAACAGGAAGTAATCCCAAAAGATAACATGAGTCAGAAAAAGATACAGTTTAGCCTTTTCTGTCCCACCGAACACAGTAGGGATCGGGCTTCCTGCCTGTCCCGTTTCCTCCCAGATGGGAGACAGGATCTATAAGGGCTCTCCCTAGGCAGGCCAGGCACTCTCCCCAACAGCCCCAATTTGGATTCTTAAAGCCAGCTTTCTCCCCAGTGAATTAACACAGGTAATGGCCTTGCTCTTTACTCTTACAATTTTTAACAATCCAAAATACAATCACCCCACCCTACAGAAATATATGTGTGTGTATGTGTGTATACATTTGCATTATATGTACAAACACATCTATTGAAAGTATACCTTAACAAAAAGAGAAGTTTCAAAAGGGAAAGGGAGAGGGATTAATTAGATGGACTGGTATTATGCCCTTATAGGGAATCTAGGAAAGAATTTCTCCCTATTATTTTTCATTTTGTTTTTGCTTGATTTTGAGAAAAGTGACCTGAATGGACATGAAGTCTAAAAAGAAGAAGGAAAGGAAGGGAGAGCCTGAACAGTAGAAGGGAAATAAATTCAAATTGGGAAATGTTAGATTTGAGCAACAAAAATGCATCCAGCTAGAGATACCAACCAGACAGAGAAAAGGTTAACCTGAAGCTTTATATAAGGGAGGATGTCCCTGGAGATGAAGGAAAGAGGAAGGGAGGAAGGGAGAGAAGGAGGGAGGGAGGGAGGGCAGGAAGGAGAGAGGGGAAATTTATTCTGGGAATGTAAGAAGAGAGTATGGAAAGGAGAGACATGAGAAGAAGACAGAGCCTTGGGAAATGCCTCCAGCACACTAAGCATGGGGTAGCACGGGAGGAAAGGGAGGAACTGGCAAGAGAAAGAGAGGAAGAAAAGGCAATGGGACAAAAGACGGTGTAGAAGATGCACTTAGGAAAGAGGGAGCTGAGTGGGCAACACTCCAAACTGCTGCAGGGACAATGAGGGAGGTTCCAACCATGAAGAGCCCACAGCTTTGAAACAGAACACAGATAGATGCCTTTTGAGAAGCAGAATTTAGTGCAGTGGTACAATGGTGGAGGAAGGTCAGAATGGGGATAAGGCGTGATCAGTAAGTGGAGGCCAGACACATGTCACTCATTCACGAGAAGAGACAGAGAACGCAAGACTGTAAGCTCTGTTAGCACAGGGACCTTGCTCTTTTCATCACTGCTGCATCCCTAGCAACAAGAACAGCATGTAATAGGTACTCAATAAATATTCGTTCACTGGTTGTTGTTTATTCAGTGAGTAAGTGAATGAATTAATGAATGAATTTCCCTGGTATTTGAGGGTGGATGAACGAATAATCTTGTTCTTGCAAGTATGGAATTCAGGCATGAATACTGGAGTTGATACTGTTTTAAGTTCTGGCTATAAGCAAAGGCTACAAGCACGGCTCACATAATGGAGGGTGGAGGTCTTGTTTAGGAGTTAAGGTTAGCAGAAAGGGAAGTCTTTCAGGCCAGGCACTAGAACTGGAGGAGCCCCTGAGTATCTGCACAGTGGGAATCCGTCTCTGTCTAGAACAGGAAAGTGGCAAGAGAGTGAAAGGTGCTCCAGTGAGGCCAGTTGTTAAGAAGGGACTGTACACATAGGGTAGGTAGGGAGCAAGGAAGTAAGAACTCTTGGCAAGTGCCTGCGAAGTTTTGAAATTCACCTTTCCATCACTATAACAAATAGTTGAGATAAGCAAATGCATAAAGGGAAAAGGGTTAATAGACCAGGCATAGTGACACTGGCCTGTAATCCTTGGTACTTGGGATACAGAGGCAAGAGGATCACAAGTTCTAGACCAGCCTGAGCAAAAGTAATGGGGAGAGCCTGTGTCAAAAAACAAACAAAAGGGCTAGGAACATAGCTCAAGAGCACTTGCCTGGCATGTGTGAGGCCCTGGGTTCAATCCCCCGCACTGGGGGGAAGGGGGTTTGATTCAGAGGTTTCAGCCCATGACCAGTTGGTCCTGATGCTTTGAGTCTGTGGTGGTCCATCATGGCAGAAGCACATGGGAGAAGAAAGTTGCTGACCTCAGGGCTGGGAAGCAGTAAAGAAGAAGTGACCTGGATCCCACAATCCCCTTTAAGAACACATCCTTCATGACCCAAAGAACTTCCACTAGGCCCCACCACCTCCCAATAGTGCCAAGCTGAGGACCAACTCTTTAACACATAGAACTTTGGAGGATACACAAAAACCCAAAGCAAAAGTTACAGAAACCCTTTGGGGCTACAGGTTACCCATCTCAGGCTGTTGATTCTTGTTCCTTCATATTTAAAATGCCTAGAAAGTTCTAGTCTGGACATGAAAATATGACAGAGTTTGGCCAACATTTGGGGAGGGGAAGGAGGTCAGCATTGTGGTGCCACCAGAAGCAGAAGAAGTGAAACCACCACAAGGACTGTGGATGCACAGTAACCACCAATCGTCCACCACCATCCTAAAGATTCCAGGGTTTTGTTTTTTTTAATTAGAGATATGGTATTCCTTATAAGAAATCTAAGAAACAATTTTTCCTGTTGCTTCTCATTTTGTTTTTGTTTGATTTTGAAAAAAAGAGGCTGAGGAGACAGTAGGTCTAAAGGGGAAATTGGTAGAGAGCAAGAGGAAAGAAGTAGAGGTATAAAGAATTCATACAATACAATTAACAGAGCCTTAGAAGAGGAGGCCGTGAAATCCCAAGGCTAGGTGAGGAGCTTTGTTTTTGCTAAGTAGTAGATAGAAAGACAGACAGAATAAGGATATAGAAAGAAAGCTCTCCTATGAAGCTCCCCTGGAAGTCAGGGGACAGAGACAGCTAGGGGACTAATGGGACATGGAAGGCTCACACAGGTGCTGTGGGGATGCCTCCAAAGCCCAGAGAGTAAGGGGATTTCTGCAAATCCTGAGGAGCTAAATCCTTGGAATTTCCAGAAATTCTAACCAGCACAACTTAATACTGTCTGCAGTAATACTTGGCAACCTGGAAAGGCTCTGTGCAATTGTTGGAGGTACAGCCCTACCCTTGAGCCAAGTTCAGCCCCCCCACCATATAACAGATCCAGCACACACCAAGTAATGAGAACTGGATAAAGTCACACTTCATGGCAGAATCATCTCACTATCTTAAAAACAACCCTGAAGATAGGTTCTAATCAAGAGTCACAATTAGGCCAGATGCTAGTTGCTCACGCCTGTAATCCTAGCTACTTGGGAAACAGATCAGGAGGATCACAGTTTGAGCCCAGCCCAGCAACAAAAGCAAGACCCTATCTCAAAAATACCCAACAAACACACAGAGTCAAAAAGAAAAGACTGTCAGAGTAGCTTAAGTGGTAGAGTGCCTGCCTAGAAAGTGTAAGGCCCTAAGTTCAAATTCCTACACTATTTTCATACCAAGATCCTTAGAGGCTTCCAGATAGCAGAAATCTTAGAAATCACCTGGTCTAACCGCTCACCCATTATGACCTCATCATCAGGAATCCATGGCAGAAACTGTCCTTGGACACTGGCATCCATGGGCTCCCATGTCTCAGCCTCCTTTGCTGTACATCTAAATTCACAGGGCTGAGCTCCGGCTGATGCAATATTCATGCGACTAACAAGTCACTCTCAGATCTGCCTCCATCTGAAATAGAGGGTGATGGCCAGCCTACACCACATCAGTGTTAATCACTGATATTTGTGGATCTGTCTGCCTCAGCAGCAAGCATTAATTTTCAGGTGACCTTTTAATAACCCAGCAACTCAAGAGTCACCAATCAGCTAGAAAAAGGGATGGAGATTACTGTTACCTTCCTACCCAAAGTACTAAAAAGCTAGAAACAGTCATGAACCCTATGTTTACAATAGAGTAGGTAACTTATTTAAAGATTTTTTTTATTTCTTTTTTTTTAGCGGTACTGGGGTTTGAACTCAGTGTCTCATACTTGCTAGGCAGGCACTCTACCACTTGAGTCACTCTGTCAGCCCTCCAAGGGTTATTTGAAACATAATTTATAAGGCTAAAGCCTCACCTTCCAACTAGAACCAGAAAGTGCAGAAGTCTGAAAACAACCCAGGCTGGGAGCTAAATACAGCTATAGAATTTACTCACCAGTTAGTCCCTCAGGCACTGCTTATTTACTCCAGGATAACCTGAGTAATTCGGTTATCTCACTTCAGATAAGAAATAGAAAACTGGGAGCAAAAAATAGAGGTGGCTAGCAGGGGGACAGAACAGTTCTGATAGTGACCCCCCCCATCAAAAGGCAAGGTACAGAGCCCCATATAAAGGATGGATAAGCTCTCCTGCTCCTCACTCCTAAAGGCATCACTGGAAGGTCTCAGACCACAAAGAAGGTGAGAAAAGGTTCAGTGTTTAAACACATACACTTGGTCATTTGAAAAACTCATTTGTGAAAACCACCTTATGTGACGTTGCCTACTGCATGCTATCCCGAATGGACTTGGGTGCACAGATCCAGCATAAAGAAAGTGAACTTCACGAGAAAAATCAAGCTCCAGTTGTCATAGGAAGTAGAAAGGACCTTAGCGATCATGCAGCCAACGCCCTGGCATCAATATTACGTGATCAGTACATTCCTTGCACTGTAGATCGTGTCCTCTATTTTGGGAGCTGAGCTATAACCACCCATAGCACAATTTCCTGGACAGACTCTCACTTTCCCCATCCCTGCCCAGCCTTGTGGGTGGCTCACAGGCCCCATGTGCTCACCTGCAGAAAGCAGTGTCCAACTGGGGCATGCTCTGCCAGGGTGACATTGTACACCTGCCTCCGGAAGATGGGTTCGTTGTCATTCACGTCATCCACAGTAATGCTTACGAGGCAGGTGGCAGAGAGCGGGGGTTCTCCGAGGTCCTGGGCCACCACTCTCAGCTCCACCGCCTCCTGGACCTCTCGGTCTAGAGTTCGAATGGTGCTGATCACACCGCTTTCGGGATTGATGGTGAAAGAGGGTCCGCACTCTGCTGTGGGTGGCAGAGCCTCCGGGTTGCAGCTAGCCCAGAGCTGGACCAGCGTGTAGCGCAGCCGGGCGTGATCAGTGCCCGCCTCATCAGCATCGACGGCACGGACCCATACGACTGTGGTCCCAGGGGCCGCGGCCTCGGACACCGAGGCCCGGTAAAGCTCCTGGCTGAAGACCGGCGGCTGGTCATTGAGGTCAGCGACCCGGAGCAGCAGTGTCTCTTCGGTGCTCAAGGGTGGGAATCCCGCGTCCATGGCCACCAGTCGCAACTCATATAGATCACGGCTTTCCCTGTCCAGAGGCCCCTCGACGCACAGGAAAAACACTCCTGGAGGGCCCCCGGGCCGCAGCGCGAAGGCTCCCTCCCCGCCCTCCAGGGACAACGAGATGCTTCCGCCTCCAAGGCCCACACCAAACTCCCCGGCGGCCTCCTCTTCCTGCTCTGGTTCACCGTCTGCATCTGACACCGAGACGCGAGCTACGTAGTCACCTGGCCGGGCTCCCTCGGAGACACCGGCCGAGTTTCCCTCGGTGAGAAACAGGAGGTGAATGACGGGCCGGTTGTCATTCACGTCCAGCACAGCGATGGACACGCGCACCGTGGCGACCTCGGGCTCCGTGCCTCCGTCGCGGGCCTCGACGACCAGCTGGTGCCAGGCCTGCTGCTCCCGATCTAGAGGTCTGTTCACTCTCACCACGCCGCTGAGCTCCTCCACCGCAAAGTGATCTGCGTCACCCAGTGGCCCGCCGCCTGCACCCGCCCCAGGCCCTTGGCGCGCGCGGATGCGGTAGCGCACGAGGCCATTGGGCCCCAGGTCGCGGTCGGTGGCCAGCACGCGACACACCTCGGCGCCCAGCGGGGCGTCCTCACGTACTGCAGCGCGGTACTCGCTCTGCTCAAACACTGGCATGTTGTCATTCTCATCCAGCACGCGCAGCTGCACGCGCAGGCTGCCAGTGCGCCGCGGACTGCCGCCGTCCCACGCTTCAATCTGCAGCTCATGAGCCTCCGCCGCCTCTCGGTCCAACCGTCGCAGCAGTACCAAGTCTAAGGGCTCCAGAGGCGACGATGGTGGTGGCCCTGGAGTCCTGTAGCGCAACTGGAAGAACGGTCCCTCGGGGTCCTCGGGCAGGTCAGACGGCTGCACCAAGGTGTAGCCTTGCGTGCTGAACAACCCGGCGTCTGGGTCGTGGGCACCTGGAAGGCGGAAGGCAGTACCTGGAGGACTGAGCTCCGAGACGTCGAGTTGCAGGGAGTCGCGGGGGAAGCGGGGCGAATGGTCGTTCACGTCGTTGACGCGGATCTCCACCTGCACCACGGCGCCCAACAGCGTGGCAGCCACGAAGCTGTAGTGATCGCGCCGCTCGCGATCCAGGCACCGCGCGGTGCGGATAATGCCGGTGTCCGGGTGCACGTGGAAGTCGTCCAGCAGCGGGGAGTCATCTGTGTCCTCGGACAGAAAGAAGCCATCCCCGTCCTGCTGCTGCGCGGCTGGGAGCCCAGCGCGAATGTCACCGACCAGCGTGTCGGGGGGAAGCCCCTCGTCTACGGAAAGGCTGAGGTTGAATACCTGGGCAAAGGAGCCCGACGACGCCCACAGCCACGCGTGCACGAAGAGCCCGAGCAGAGAGCGCTGCGCTCTGGTGCCTCTGCCGCCACCCGGCCACCCACGAGGTGACCCTGTCCTCCCGGGGAGCAGACGCCGCTTCCGGACCGGAGCCCCAGGCTCCTGGAGCTCTTCGCCCATCCTCCGCCCAGAAGGGGGCATTTCTCCGCCAGCTCCTTGGGAAGGCTCCCAGAGAACTGCCAGCCTGTGGCGGGATGGCAAAAAAAAAAAAAAAAAATCCAGGAGCCACTGCAGCGTGTGAGCCAAAGAAGAAAAGACTTTGTTTGGCAAACAAACCCACAGAGCCAGGAGTTTCCGAGGTTACATCTGCAATTGGTGCAAACGTCCTCTGTCTGCAGCTCGCGCAGACAGACACCCGGGAAGCTCCAGCCGCCTTGGCCGCTGCAGCCACCTCTCCGGCCCCTGGATTTCTTTAAACGAGTCTCATCTCTTTTTTCTCTGTGCTTTTATTCCTTTTACATCTGTTCCTTGTTCTGCTCGGCTGCTGGTTTCCCCCTGGTAAAGTCAGGTGCATTGTTTCCTTTGCCAAAAAGGAGGAAATTATTTCGAGCGCGCACACACGGAGAGGATGGGGATCTGGCTGGGGAAGGGGGTGGAGTGAGGGCGGGGAGGCCGGGAGTGAGGGCGCGGGGCGGGAGGGAGGGAGGAGAGATGGGAGGGCGGCTCCGGCTGCGGCCGTGTAGTCTGCTCCGGGGGCGGTCGCTCCCCGCGGCGCCGCTGGGGACCACGCAGCGCCCGTTCTGACCCGGCCTCCGCCGCCTCCGTCCCCTCCCCGCGCGTGACGCGGCGCCCACGGGGGCAAACTCCAATCTCCGAGCCGTGGCTCTGCAGCAGGGAGCAGGGCACAAGAGAAGCAAAGGCACAAGGATCGGGAGGTGTGGACCGACCGTGGGGTGGGTGGGAGGCGCGCAAGCCGGTGCCTGCCCCGGCTCTGAGTGCCAAGTGCAATGCGTGGGGGAGGCGAGCAATCAGCCTCCCCACGCCTGGCCCCTGCATCCTCCTGCAGGCCTGACGGTTGGCTCCGCCGGCGGAGAAGGTGGGGGGGTTGTAATCACTTTGGGGAATCAAACTTGTGTTGTCCATTTGGCGAAGACTAGTCCCCAGTCGAAGGACAGATGGAGTCAAAGGCCGATGCACAGCTGGAGCCAGGATGACTGCAAAGGGGATAAGGCGGAACTTGGAAAAACCTTCGAGAAAACCCAGAAATTTGTGATGCACATGGTGCATGCGCTACTAGTCAGCGACGTGTGAGCGTTTTGGCACTCCTCTCTGCCACCAGGAATGACGACAATAGATTGAGCTTGTGAACCTTTTTTTTTTTTTTAAATGCATTCAGCGCCATCATATCACTTCCAGGATGTTTTACAATACTGGTTTATTGACAGAAAGACCGAGTGGCTGAGGATCCACCCCTGCCCTTAAGCAAGTTTGAAGGCAGGGCCACTACTGCCTGGTTTGAAAAACCTGGTTTTTCAAAGTAACTGAGCCCAAAGAAAATGCCAGTCTCCACAGTCGCAGGTTTCCCTTCAGCTATCCGTAATAATCGCTGGACATTGATAAATGACCTCTAATTAAGTATGCTCCCAGAAAGGAGTCTCTGCCCTCTTAAGAATGGCACGCCATGTTTAGCGAATGGTTCGTGCAATTTTTGCATTTCAGCCAGAGGAAAGAATTAATTTTCTAGATACTGTTCTGTCCCTTAGGGAGGATCCACTAAAAGTTAGCATAGTGGTTCCTTCCAGCCCTAGTAAAATGCCTTTTTGTATTCAGTGACGTATATATAATTGCTAATCCACAGCCATGCTGTTCTCTCCACTCTAACATAGTAATAATAAAACAATTTATTTTGTAGCAAGTATAGTTCATGTAAATGGAGACATTACTAAAACAAATTCATCTTCCTTTGACCAATGAAGTGAGATTTGGTGTGAGTCTCTGGAGGCTTCTTTCTCATCCACCTGTGCATCTCACCTTTAGAAGTCCCCTGCCTTTTTAAGTAATTCTCCCCCAAACATCCAGATTGATGTTTTTAAAGTCAAGTCAATGTACCTCCTGCTCAGACCTGCAATGCAATTCCATTATACTTGGATTATAATTCAGACTCCTTCCTAAAGTGGAAGTCTACCTTCCTGTCATGGTTGCCACCCTGAAGCCAACCATACTGCCTTCTGTCTGATCTTAGAAACTTTGTGTTATTTGAGCTATTCAGGTCTAGTTCTCTTTCTCTGCTTTGCAAAGACCTGGCTTTTTCTCACTCTGGTCTCAGCGCCCACACAAATATTCGGGGAGTTGTTCCCTGGCCACACTACCTCAAGCAGCCCCCATTCTACCATAAGCCCTCTAGCCTCACTTGTACTTCATTCTTAACACCTATCAGTACCTGAGATCAGGTTTTTTTTTATTCATCTGTTACTCAATTATCCTACCTTATCCTACCACCTAGGAATAGTACCTAGCACACAATGGGTCTCTAGTCGCTAAATATGTATTGGATGACTGGCTGGGTAGCTAGCTGAACTGATGGACAGGTGGATAAATGAGTCTGTTAAAGTAGAGATCTGAAACCATAACTAAGAATTGATTGCCATGAGAGCCTTCAAAAATGAGGAATTCTATCTTTGTAACCTCTCCCCCTTTCTCTTTCCCTCTCCCACCATCATGAATAGAAATGACGATGGACAGAAAGGTCAGCAGGGCAGATCTTCACCTGGTCTTAGTAATACAGGTACTTGATCTTCAAAATCATTTTCTCCAAGATTGCAGATAGTCCTCAGCTTTGTAATAATTAAATGGGAAAAACAGTTACTAAGGGTTCAAAGCACCTCCTTCAACCCTTTAGGGAAGGAATTATAATTACTATCCCGATCTTGCAAATGAGGAATCTGAGGTTCACAGACATTGCAAGTAACGTGACCAAAGACCCCTAGGAAGCAAGTGTTGGATGGAACCTGAACCTAGATGGTTTCACTTCAGTGAACATGGTCTTCACTAGTCATTTAGTGAGTCATCCACTACTCATTGTCTCTGCAATTTTCTTTAACCAAATTGTCCTCTGAATTCTCATTGAAATTAAAAGTGATATAATGGATTTGAGAAAGAACTAAGGGAAGAAAGAGGAGCAGAAAGAGGAGCCTGGATAGCTAGAGTGTTTGTGGGAACAAAGGGGAGGCACAGAATAGCCACAGCAAGTGACTAATTAGAAATACAACAAAAAGACATCAACTAATTTGAACTGATAATTAAAGGTAATGAGGAGGCTATGGAGTTTCTTGCCATCTTCTATCCCAGGGGAAGGCCCACTGAGGGCTAGGAAGGGGGCATGACAATGGAGTGCTCCTTACCATCACATCACACATGTCACCTTTCTGAAAATATTTGAACCAAAAAGCTCAAATGGTCACATTTGAAATGGTTTCGTTTTGTATGCCAAGTTGACCAGGCCATTATGCCAGTTGTTCACTCAAACATCAATTTAGCTGTTGCTGTGAAGGTACTTTGTACATAAGATCAACACTTAAAGTCAAGTAGATTACCTTCCATATTGTCCCTGGGCCTCGCCTAATCAGTTGAAGGCCTTTAAAGCAAAATAATGGAAGTATCCTGTAGAAGAAAATATTTGGCCTCAAGCTTATAATATAGAAATCTTGGGCTGGAGGAGTAGCTCAAATGGTAGAGTGCCCTGAGTTCAAATCCCAGTACCACCAAAAATAATAATGATATAGAAATCCTGAGTTTCCAGGGAGCTGAACTGCCTCTGTTCATCAGCTTTCCATCACTATAACAAAATGCCTGGCATAATTAACTTATATAGAGAAAATGTTTATTTTGTCTCACAGTTTTGGAGGTTTGAGTCCATGATTGATTGGTCCCGTTGCTGTAGATGAGATAGTAACATCATGGTGGGAGCATGTGTCAGAGAAAAATTGCTCCCCTCATGACCAGGAAGTAAAAGAGGGGAAGAGGAAATGACTAGGGTGCCACAATCTCCTTCAAGGGCACACTCCCAATAACCTAAAGACCTCCCACTAGGCTGCCTCCCAATAGCACCCCCCAGGAGCAAGCCACACCCCATAGACCTTTGGGAAGCATTCCAAATCCAGACATTAGTGCTGCCATATAGATTTTAGACTTTCCAGTCTCCAGTCCTGAGCCAATTACTTTAAATAAATAGTATATATGATGATGATGATGAAGATAGATAGATAAATAGATAGATAGATAATAGATATATAAGTATAGGCTGTGTTTCTCTGGAGAACCTTGACTAATATAAAGGTGTTTAATAGGTGAAGATGATTTGGTATTTAACATATTTTGTGTTCTTAAGTTCTTAAAATCAGAATCCTAGGCATGATAGGAATCTTAATAGCCAATTGAGTTTACCTCCCTACCTTAGAATTTAAGCCATCCAAAAGAGATGAGAGTCAGGGACAGGTGTGGCAGTATGTGCCTATAACCATAGCTATGTGGGAGGTAGAGAAGAGAGGATTCGAGTCTGAGACCCTCCCCAGGTAAAAGAAAGACCCCTACCTGAAAAATAGCTAAAGCAAAAAGGACTGGAGGCCCTAAGTTCAAACCCCAGTACTGCCAGAGAGAGAAAGAGAGAGAGAGATGATGATGGTGATGATGGTGACAGTGATGATGATAGTTCTCTCTTTCTTGATGTTGAGGACCAATTCCAAATGCATTTATTCTAATTTTTCAACTCAACAGAATGATTAATTTTTACATAGCATTAGCATGTTTCAGATACAGGTTTTGTTTTGTTTTGGTTTTTGGTGGGACTGGGGTTTGAACTCAGGGCTTTGCACATGTTAAGCAGGCACTCTACTACTTAAGACACACTTCCGGTCCATTTTGCTCTGATTATTTTGGAGATGGAGTCTTGTAAGCTATTTGGCCAGGCTGGCCTCGAACCACATCCTTCCAATATCAGTCTCCCAAGTAGCTAGGATTATAGGCATGAGTCACAGGTGCCTAGCTCAGATACAGTTTTTTCCCTCTGATTCTTTGGGAAGACAGAGAAAACCTAGTCAATAATTTCTTTATATAAGCATTTCATTATATCCTTGAAGGACACTATAACATCATTGATCATTAAATACATACTGTATCAAATCATACTTTTAGAAAATCTAGTA